TTGAAAGTCAACTATACTAGGTCAAAAGTCAATTGTGGCTAATAAACAGTCAAACTTCAAGATTTTTGGTCAACGTCACCATTTTGAAGTGATATCCATCATTTGATCAAGGGTTAATAATTATTCCTCAAGGAATTCTCTTAATTTATCAAAAGTCGAGAATTGCTAAATTAGGATTTCTATAGGAGAAGTAAACTGAACTTTGACCAAGCATAACTTCCACATACTTCATCCATTTTTCCCCAACCAAATCTCATTTTGAAGAGAATCCAATTCCCTGAAACTTCTCTTTTATCCTCAAGTTCAAGAAATGCACCATTTGAAAGATACAAGCTCGCACATTAAAGGTCATTTTCAGAAAGTCAACAAAAGACACTTTTTGCCAAGACAATTTACATCAAGATAAAATATTCAAATGCAAAGTTGATCAAAAGAGGGATTGAAGTAGACAACTTGGGCTTTCCAAAAAGTCCAAGATCATCATCATTGGATAAAATGAGCAAGTTATGGTTTTCCAAAGTTGAGAAAATTTGGGAAATTTCAAGAATTGTGCATTGGGCAAACTTGAACTTTTAGGTCAATGGCCTAACTTCTTGGACTTCAAACATCTTCCTAACCTTATGAGAGACCTATAAAATAATTTCTACATTACCTTGCCATTTCTACCTATTTTATCCATATTTATTTTGTTTCATTCAAATAAAAGCTAAATAAAATTACATAAAATAGTAAATATTGGTTATGGCAATATGGGCTGATGGTTTGAATTGTTTTTGGGTCCAAAATTTTGTACAAAGGAGGTCAGGTGTATTGCACCTCAAAATGGGCAAGAATTTGCATTTTTGGACCTCTTCTTCCTCTATAAATACAAGACCAAGGCATGGGCAAAAGGGGACGAAAATAAATTGCCTTACAAAAGCTCCACAAAATTGCAAAAAAATCATAAAAGTTGTGAAATTCGAAATTGAGTTTTTCAACCATCATCTATCAATACCAAATGCTCAGTCGTATTCTTGAGATTCCTGGGAACTTATTCCATCCATTCCCAAGGCTTGCAACATTCTAGATCACTGGATCCACGTATCACTGGTTGGTAAGATTTTCTTGAAATCAAAATTGCATTTTCATGTCCTATTAATATTTTTCATTGTTTGATTCATGTTCAGGGCTGTTCATAGTACAGGTTTAACGTGCAATATATAAACTTAAGGACCAGAATGAGATCGTGTCATCGCTAGAGCATGATCTGTATTTTCCTTCAAATCTCAAGATCCATGAGTGATTCCCAGGCCCATGTCTTTTTTTAATTCTTACTTTTTTTACTTTTTTTTTTTTAATTTTATATTCATTTTCTTTTCAAAAACCATTTTTATTTTTTATCATAAAAAAATCACAAAAAAATTAGGCTTTAGTTTTTTTATTAAAATTAATTTTGTTAATTAATTAATTAATCACCTTAACACTTTATTAAAATTAAAATTAAGTTGACTTAGATTTTAATTTCTTTTATTAATAAAAATGCAAAAAAATATATTAGGCCTAGTTTAGAATTAATTTTTAATTAATAATATTATTTTCTTTCAATTAATTAATTAGTCTAATTTTAACTTAACAATTTTATTAAATAAAAACAAATAAAAAGATTTCTTTATTCACCTAGAATTGTCTTAGGGTTATTAGACGTCTTTTCCATTTCGTACGCGTTATTTACTTTCGTAATTTTTTTCATACTAATGTATTTGCTTATGGGATGTAATATACTATAATTAGGACTTTTTACTTTACTGCTTTCTTTATTTTCCTCCAAGTTTTGGACTCGTAATAATCCCCCTCCCCGAAGCCTTGTAATAGTTAGATTTATATTTCCGCACTTTTAATTACTGCAAACTATTAACTGTTGAAATGCATGACTAATAGGATTGTATGACAAGAATAACAAACAAAATGCTAACAAATCTAATGCAAAGACAAAAATAATTGAATACAAACACAATTGCACATGTGCACCTCTAGGGTACCTCCATTTCGGTTGCCTTTGAAAAACAGTCACATCTCTCGAAACGTGAGAGATTTTAGTGGCTACCCTCCGGTTTAAAGATCATAAGTCCCTCGATGATCCTCTCGACGTTGCCTCGGTATGATCTTAAAACCCTAGGGTAGTTACTAAAGTTTTTTGCCCAGTTTCCTTTGTGACTATATAAACGTCCCTTCGAATGTCCCTCAAACATCCGACGACTAGGATTACCTACTCACTAATAGTAGGATAACACTGTCTAAAGAAAAAGAGGAAAAGAACAACCTTTCGAGTAAAGTAGATAGATGTTAGATATTTGCTCAAACAATTTTTATACTTACACAAAACTTTTTTCAAAAACATTTTCAAACACTTTGTATACGTTCTCTACCATTCCGAGAAATATTACATAGTTCGCCGCATTAAAGTGCTTTCAAAAATATTTTTCAAAAACACACAAAGCACAAGGTATTTCAAAATGAGTTAAGCATCTAAGATCCCATAGATAACTACAGATGGAAATGGTGTTAACATCTTCCCTTTCCATAATCTATCCCCCTTGCTCAGAAAACTCTCGAAAGGTCTTTTTCTATTCTTTTCACCCTTTCCTTTGTTGGATAAAAGAAAAGTCGGTGGAGACTCTTGCTTACCCCAATATTTACGAATACAAACGTAAAACCAGTATAACAGTCAGTTCTCCCACCGTATTATAGTAACAAACTAACCATTTTCAAAAGTCCAGTTGTACACAGACACAATGTCGAATGATTTTGTATAGGACATGTTTGTTCGACATGTTTCTCCAGTTAATGGAACATCTTATTTCAACATGTTTATGCTAAGTTAGTTTTACCAAACATAATGTCAATCACAACAAAAGAGAGAATTAACAAAAATATGTATGTAGTATGACACAATGGGAGATTATATGTTTAAGGGTAATGTTAATATGTGTCATAAAGGCACAAGTTAAGAATTAAATATAGAAATATTTTTTTAAGAAATTGAAAATTTATTTTATAAAAAATTTATAATTTATAATTTATTAATTTTTTTCAACACAAGCTTTTCATTTATAGATTTTTTTAATATGTGTCATGTGTTCTAAAGATACATGTTAGCATTGTCCTATGTTTAATTATGAGTTGCCAGGGGAAAAATATGAATTTGATCGACTTACCACCTCAACCCCAATTCTAATGAAAAAATCAATTTAGTTGAGCGCGGTGAAAAAAATCCTAATTTTTTAATTATGGGGTCAAGGCATAAATTTAATATATGCTTTGCATTCATTCCGCTCTGACCTATTAAATTTGTTTTATTATGTTTATTTTGTATAATTTTATTATCTATTTATTCTTTTGCTAGTGAGTGTGAGATATATTGGATAAACTGATTCCCCGTTTAAGATAGAAATAGGTGGTTAATTATTACTCCGACCCGATTTAAGGGCCGTCAAAGGTGGTTATGTATAAGCTTGCCACCACCCTTTTTCGTTGTCATGCCTAGTTATGAGTCATTTTCTAATAACATCATGAATTTAAAAAAAAAATCACAAATTTATATCAATCATTATAAGCTTTTTTTTTTTGTTTTTGAATTTTTTTTATTAGATTTAAAGAAAATTCATAAATATGTTCCTATTAAATTTTTTTTATTGTGTTTATTTTTTATCTTTACATTACTACTAATAAGATATTATAATATTTAATATTATTAGTGGTAGAGCTTTAAAATGGATTAGCTTATATGGACCGGTCTGTCCGATCTAAAAAATTATAGGATTTGGATCTTTAAATTCAAACCTATATGTTTAAGGGTTTTTTAATTTAGTTCTAAAAAATCCGTTATTCATTAGGGCTAGTTTGTATCGATCGTGGGTAGCCCATTAGGCCCACATAGCTATACATTTAAAAAAAAATTATATTAATTCTTATATTGTGTATCTTTAAAATAACATATTGATTTTTCTCACTTCAGGAAATTTTGTCTATATTCTATTCAATCTTTCTCTTTTAAATATTATACATTAATATAATTAACATTTTTTTCTCGTATTCTATTAGTTTCTCTTATATTAAATATTTGAGTATTATTTTCTACAATTTAGACATGTATTGTATTTAAAAATATATTACAGTATTTATAAAAGATAATATGATATTTAAAAATGTATTATGTTAAAAAATAATATAATTTTTTATTTTATTTATAATAGGTATTATAGATTTTTATTTTGATTTTTTTAAAATAAAAAACTCATTTAGGATCGAATAGTCCGATGTCTATTTAGGGCCGGACTCAGATAGTAATTTTGACCCATATTATAATAGAATTTTTTTGACCTTATCCTAAAAAACCGAGATCCATCCGAACTGACCCATTTAGAGTCGAGTAATCCATTTTAACATCTCTAATTAAGGGTGGGAAGTAAGCGGTCCTGTCTCATTTAATAAAATAATCAGACTCATACATTTTAAAAAACCTATTAAATAAATTGGGTTAAAATTTATTTATGTGTAGTTTTATATACTAAATTAATTTATAAACTAAATATGTATATAACTAATTAATTTTTGTAAGATATATAAATATAATAAACAATCATACTTGATGATTGAAAAATAATAGTATTCAAAAGAAGAAGAAAAAAAGATGAATTTTTTTAATTAGATGTATATACCTGTTCTTACCCATACATAATATCATTATTTTAATTTTTTAGTATCTACCTGTTTAAAAAAAGAATATATATCATAATTTTAGTTGCCAAATAAAATCATTATGAATATAATTGCACGCTTTTAAAAATGAAATAAATGGAGGACAATAACATAAATCCATGTAAAAAATATTAACCATTTTTATTTAATTTGAGATGATTCTTCTGAGCTATAGATTTTATGAAGTTAAATTCGGAATCACCCTATACCTAGTGAGTTGCTACAAGAACTTGAAGTGTCATAGGAAAATTTCAATTTCATCACTAGAGTTGTTCAGTGTCCGCGTCCATTTTGAATTTTGTGATTCCTATCCCAATTAGTGTATCATTTTTGGATTTTGGACCATTCTTAACCTTCAATTCACCAATAAACTTATTGACATTAGCACTAGAACTGCCACCTTCCTGCAAAGCTTTTTTTGCAGCTTCTTTAATCTCCAAAGCCCTCTTCTTAAACTCAGCAGCATTAGGCCCATCCACTACCTCAAAAACACACCTCTCAATCTCTTCAACACTTCCAACTCCATCTTCTCCAACCTTAATTCTCACCCCATTCTTAAACACTTTCTCAACCAGCATGGCATTAGTTGGTTGATCAGTCCAAGAAGGATAACCAATAACAGGCACACCAGTTATCAATGTCTCTAGTAACGAGCTCCAACCACAATGACTTATAAAACAAGCAACTGCAGGGTGCTGTAACACCTTCGTTTGTGCACACCATTTCACTATCAAACCTCTCCCTTCAGTTTCTTCCAAAAACTCTTTTGGTAATTCGTAAGCAGGATCCTCTGATGCATATCCTCCGTTATTAGCTGGCTTAACAACCCACAAAAAATTGTTGTTGCTATTCTTCAAAACTGTAGCTAAATTACTCATCTGATTTTTTGACAACACAACCAAACTACCAAATGATATATAAATAACAGATGAATTTGGTTTAGTATTAAGCCACTCTATGCATGAATCTTCTGCGTTCCACATATCAGCACTCACATTACTTGTCTCCTTTTCACCTAATAGAGAAGGTGGAACCAATGGTCCGATATTATATATAGGACTTAGCGAATCCAATGATTTCACTATCTCTTCCTCAATTTCAAAAAACGAAGCACCTAGAACCCATTTCACTTTATCCAAAGCTTTGATGAAATCAGACATAACTTCCTTAAACTGAACAGGACTAGAAGGAAGTATCATGGAAGGAAGATCTCTTACCTCTAACGTTGGTAGGCCAGGTAATTGCACCTTCTCATTAGGATCCTCTAACTTGGGAAAAACATCAGTGTTCTTGAAGTAACGATAGTAAATCGAATAGCAAGCAGAAGCTTGGATCCAAAGCAATGCACAAGGGATTTGATACTCAGCAACAACATCAACAGCCCAAGGAACAAAAGGGTTGACAATAACACATGAAAATGTTTGATTTTTGCTGAGCCTGTCGATGAGATTCGAAAGGTTTTTAGGACCCTTTTCACGTATGGTATTGATTACAGTTTTTGTATCGGATCGGTCGAAGTCGATGCTGAGACCGTCGGAAAAGAACTCGAGGCGGATTCCCGAGTCAGATAAGTTCTGATCAGCGTTCTTGAGCATGCGTGCACGACCTTCTTCGGTTGTGGCTATGGTGACATGAACACCCTTTATAACGAGGTGTTTGGCAAAGTTTAACATGGGGTTGACGTGACCTTGTAAGGCCATTGAAACCATGAGAATGTTGATGTTGGTTTTTTCCGCTACTGACATGGCTACTATAGTGTAATCAAATTATGAAAGAGATAGATGGCTTGAACAATTGTGTATCCTTACTCCCTATTTATAAAACATTTTAACAACTTTTACACGTCTCAAATTTATATATAAACTAATATGTATTTTAATATTATTAAATTATCTTTATATCTATCTATATATATGTATACATTGAATTCAATTCAATCTTGACTATTTACTTATATTATAAGACATATATTGATAGTATTCAAAATAGTAATATCTTTCAATAAATGAAATGAAATCAAAAGTAATTTAATGATTTAAGTTAAAGGTAAAAGAATAAAATGTAAACATATAGATGGTATTTTATATAACATGATCAAAGTATAATTTTGTAATATCAATGACAATGTTGAAATGTGATATATTGAAATTGTGTTCAATGTTACCGTTATTAATATATATATATATATATATATATATATATATATA